GGCAAGACTGATAGCCCCAGAACGTCTGGTCGCCATGGCGGCTGCCTCAGGAGAAGGGTGACATTACCAGAACATGATGGTGGCGATGGCGTAGACGGTGAGGAAGAGCCAGATGATGAAGGGGTCGCTGTGTAGCAGCACCTTGCCGTATTTCAGGATGGCGGTCAGCGCAGTCACCGAGATGGACAGCTGGACGAAGCCCGTGATGAACCAGGCCACCCAGTGGACCACGTTGTTGAGACCCATCATCTTCATCACCTGAGAGAGGGGTGTCCCAGGAACACAGAAAAAAAAATATATATATATGGCAAACACTAAGGACTGCATGTATATTTCATCTAAGAAAACGAATACCTTACACCTGAGCACAGTTGAATACAGCCATCAGACATCAGCACTGCCTTGCTATAGACACACACACACACACACACACACACACACACACAGACGAAAGTTACCAGCACACAAAAAAACATCTACAATATGCCACAGCTACACACACACAGACAAATAAGAACACAGAGACATACAGACAGACAAAAACACGCACCCACGCACACAGAGCCCTAAGTCTGACCTCTTTTAGGCGGTGCTCCTTCTCCGCCACTATGTGCTGGATCATCATGGCCACCGAGTAGACCCAGGAGATCACCATGCAGAGAGGCATCATGTGCTCGATCACAAACAGGAAGCTGGAGAGGGGGCACAAACGGAATGTTACGACAGACAATGGAAAGCCGAGAGGGACAAATAAGTATACTTCATATTCAAAGGTCTCTCCTTCCTCTGCTGAACCTACAGTTCCATCAGTGGAACACAACTGGCTAAACAACATAAACAGCTACAGGAACTCCTTATCCGAAACAGGAAGGAACATGTTCTCAATAGTGGTAGATGGTCTCTGGTATTACCCTGAGACCAGGGCAGTAGACAAGAGAGAGGACAGAATAAAAGAGAGACTCCTACAATGTACTGAAATTTTAGCCCTGGCAAGGAAGGAAACAGTGGATAAAGAGACCAAGAATGACAGCAAACAAAAAAAAGTCTTAGACAGTTGGCAAAAAAGCATAAAGGGACTGCTGAGAGCCCAATGGAGAGATAATAAGACGGGGAGATAACGACAGGTGTTGGAAGATTAAAAGATAAAGACAGAGACAGAGAGATGCTCAGAGTCAGACAGATGGTAAGGACAATAGAGAGATGGTTATAGAATAACACAGTGAAAAAGAGAGAGGTCAGGACTTACTCGTCTCGGGTGTAGCAGGGGTACGGAAACATCTGGACATAGTTGCCAGGCTCCACAACATCATGTCCCACAAAGGTGTTGATGATGGCCCTCTCTATCATATCTGAGGAAACAAAACCATGTCATTCATTCATTCATTCATTTATTCATTCATTCTCTCATTCACTCAGACAAATGACTCCCAGTACCAGAACTTCAACTTCACAGCCAGGGGTGTAAGCTGTCACATACTGACTTGCGGGTTTCTACATTACTGGGGTCCCCCTTTTGGACCAGTCTTTAGAGAAAGGTACTTTATCACATATTTTAATTAGTGTTCCGCTGTAATGCAGCAGCAGTGAAAATTATTTCATAAGACTCAGATGTGAAGGTTGGCACAGCACAGTCCTTCTTTGCCTCTCTGAGTTTAACAAGCTCTTATTCACGCGGAGTGCTTACCCTACAGTTTGTGTTGGCACCCACACAAGAACACGGTCCTTTCCAAGAGAAGCATTCAGAGTCTAGGGCAAGCCCTGCTCATCTTTTTAAAAACACCACCAAAATAGGCCTCTGTCACAATGCGCAATACGAGTTATTTAGTGCTAAACACCTTCCTGCTATGTGCTCTGGCAGTTGCTGTCGGAATGCTTTTAACTTGTTTGTGTCTGTATTTATGTGTGTGTGTGTGTGTGTGTATGAGGATAGTGTGTGTGTGTGTGTGTGTACGTGTGTGTGTGTGTGTGTGTGTGTGTGTGTGTGTGTGTGTGTGTGTACACATGTATATGTGTGCGCATGCTGAAATGACAAGCCACGTCCAGTCCGTCTCTCACAGGAAGACTCAAGGTCCTATTCAGGTCAGTGAAGACGAGCAGCAGAAGTGGTCAATCTCAAAGGAAGAAAACATCTCCAGTGTACCTAAATGCATCAATTCTATTTTATAACGCTTTTGATACGAGCCTGTGGCCATGATGTCTGCGTGCAGTTTGGCCTTTTATTCAGCTGGCAAAGCACTTCATTGTTAATCCCACTACACAAACCCTTGAGCTTTGAATTCCTGCTGAGAAGAATGCAGTTCTAAATTGGCACACAGAGCATGAATGTGCATCAGCTAAAGTTTCCGTTTCCTGTATGTTAAATGTAGCTCCATAAGGCCTTAATAACATGCATAGAATACCTTCAGCAAGGCATTACTCCTTCATACAGCATTCATAAGCATCTGCAGAACTTTGACTGCTATTACAGAGTGATATGACCCATTTTGTAAATTTGGATGCATGCATGTGAAAAGTGTTAAAAATACCTATTAACTTCAAACACATTTTTATCCTTATGAACAACTTATGAAATGAAAATTAAGTGCAAAGTATGACCATGCTCTGTACTGACTCTCTGTGTTGACCTGCAGGGGTCTGTGATTTGGATCGGTGGTTGCATTCACAGCGATCGCAGTGCAGAGATGTGTCTCCAGAGTCGCAGTGTTTGAGGGCACTCGCCTACCTTGGATCCAAACGAAGCCGTACAGGAAGTAAAACTTCCCCCCGGTGTTGGGCCCAGGACGCCAGTAAGCCCGGCGGATCTCGTTGGTCTTTTCAGTGAAGCTGGAGTTCTGGCGGATCTTGTAAAGGACGTGGGCAGGTAGGGAGCCGTCCTTGTTGGTCTGGAATATCACACCTGTGGGGGGATGTAATGGGGTTTGAAGTCTGAGTTCCTCATTCAACCTAACCTTGTGCTACAAAAGATACTCTATTTACTGAACAGATACTCAGCTCCACTGTGCTTAACACTGAAAATTCTGTCTCTGTCATAGTTCAAGAAGCGATCTATTTTGCTGCCTCTTCATAAAAAGGTGGGGGTTTAAGATAGAACATTCATAGCTGGCACCTGATCCCCCCCCATTACAAACTGGAACTTTCCAGAAACGGACATATGGAGGAATGCAGAGATGATTGCCTGTTCAGTAAATTGAGTATCTGTGGCACTCCTGTTTTCTGCCATGACAGCCATACTGCTGCCACAGCACTAGATGGCAGTGTAACTCCAGACAGAAGTGGTGTGTGCTGATGTAGCCTGGGATGTATGTTGTTTTAACCTGCTGTATCAAAGGGTAATGTGTGAAAATGTATTGCTATGGCTAAGGGCATATGCTAACCTAATAAAAGTAAAGCAATTAAGGTGTAGGATCATTACTCACTGGCAAACACAGACACGTTGTCCTGGTAGGCCTGGTTCAGAGTGTAGTTGACAATGCTCTCCTCATCAGGGAAGCCCTTGAAGATGTCCACGCTGACCTGAGATGGCCATGAAAGAGAAGGGGAGGAAGAAAACAACAGGTTTTACCACACCTCCCAACTGGAGTTCTTTGGGCATCTTACAGATGACTACATTTCCCAGCAGGCCTTGAGTCACGCAGTCTGACCTTTGACATGAAGTGCGTCCAGCCGCAGGCGGCATTGTCGATGGTGTCCAGCTGCTCCAGCAGGGTGGTGGCGTTGGGCAGGGTGAAGTTCCCCTCCAGCAGGCTGCGCATCAGCTCGCTGTCCGAGGCGTTCAGAAGCTCAGGGTGTCTGCGCAGGTCAGAGGTCAACTGCGGGATGGTTACAGATAAACATCAGTGACAAGCACAGCTAAGCCGTCAATCACAGTCCAATGCAATACATGACCTTTAACATTTATTTCATTAAACTCATTTTTCAGCACTGAAGATATTCTCTGTTGCATAACTATCTGTACAAAAACAGGACAGTAAGGTGCAACAGTGTTGTTCAGTCCTGTCTCACCCAGTCTATTCAGGCAAATCCAGCATACTCCACAGCTTCTACTATTAAGGGCCAGTTTCTCCATAAAATCCAGTCACGTTTTTGAAAACAAAAAATGTTGTTTGTCAGAATGGATCCTGGGCCTCCGCAAGCTGACGGCCACAGATGAACACAAATCCACGTCTGACTGGTCGAGTATCGCGCTCCAGGTGAACCCAGGTCCACCCCCCACGTGCATCCTGCAGAATCCCAGTCCGGCCAATGCCAGCAGACCTCCTCTCAGCCCCGCCCCCTCACCTGCTGCAGCCAGGCCATGTGGTTGTGCAGCCTGCCCTCCTCCAGGAAGGCCCGGAGCTCGGCGGAAATGTTGAGCCACACGCGGGCGTAGTGCGTCACGTTCCCCACAAACGCAAAGGTCTCGTTGGCCTGAAGGGGGCAGCAGAGACTGACATTACATTTTGACATTCAGCAGACACTCTTTTTGACCTAACTGGCGACTTATGAAGCACAGGTACAAAAGTGCATCTAATGGAGTGGTATGATAGATGTTAACTACATGACCTGAGTGACAGGAGCATGTTCACCTAGCTTGGCTGAGGACCTGTTTCTTTAGGTCTGGGGTCTAAACTCACGCACGGTTCAAAACCAGCAGCACTGGTCCTACTGGAGTTCCACCTCCCTGACCATAACTCACACTGACCATTCTGGACCTGCCTGTTCCTAAGTCTCACTGACCTCTACCTGACCATTCTCAGCCAGTCAAAGGCTTGCACTGAGTACTCTATACATTAACTGACCACTCCTCTCTGACCGTTCTCTACCGCGCTCTCTGACGGTTCCCAATGCTTCATTCTGACCATCTGCTGCCTGACCCATGAGTCGCTCTGAACATGATCACCCTGACCATTACATTACATTATGTTGTCATTTAGCAGATATTCTGCAGGTTACAGCTTTATAGCTGGATATTTACTGAGGCAATTCTGGGTTAAGCACCTTGCCCAAAGGTACAGCTGCAGTGCCTGAGCATGGAATCGAACCAGCAACCTTTTGGTTATGAACCCTGCACCTTACCACTATGCCACCCCCCCCCCAGAAGATGAGTCGGTGTAAGAGTCACCTCACACCAAAGGTTCCACCGAAACTTGGACTCGGATCACTGGATTCAAAGTCCGGAGCGCTGACCATTTCACCACAGAACGCTTCTCTCTGACCGACCTCTACCTGACCGTTGCTCCCTTTGGCCACTCTCTGATCACTGTCCCTCTCTCTCCCTCTCCTCCACTCTACTCCTTCGCTCCACATGCTGTGATCAGACCGGCCCTTGCCGACAGACTGCCAATACGCAGCCGATATGTCAGGCTGACTGCATGGGGGGAATCGATAGGTAAATTTGCTCCTGTTGAGGGGTGGGCAGTGGGACAGGGGGGCTGTCACCAGAGGATCTGATTAACTAATCAATTCACAGACTGACTGTACAAAAGATCCTGTCAACAGCTAACTGATACGCATGATTAGTAAGTCAGATACAAATAACTGTGGACATCTGTATGACAGCACTTAAAAGCAGCTCCTCTCTCCTTTTTGTGTGATTCTCTCTGTCCCATGGGCTCTATCCTGATAATATAATAATATAATTAATAAACAAAAATACTATGATTAATGAGAGTAATTACAGCCACATTGTATATCTGTGTAGTCTTTTCATTAAGGAAGAACAGTTGTATAACTACACATTACAAAGGAAGATCTTTTCAAAGTGATTCAAAATACATGGTGTACTACTAACTGTGTGTGTGTGTGTGTGACAGAGATAATGCATTTAGAAAGAAAAAAAACACTTGCCTTCTGGATAACCTTGTCAACATCTGTGCCAATGGGAGAGTAGAGGATCTTGGGATTTGTAGTCATCAGGTGCACCAGAAGGCCCAAGTTGCGCTGTTCCTTGCTGGTGAAGCCCAGAGAGCTCATGTTGCCTTGCTTTAGAGCCTCTGGCTCAATAATTCTGCAAGCAGAAAGGAAAAAGGACCATAGAGAGAGCCAGAGACCAGCAGAGTGACGTACATACTCACGCCAATCAAACACACATGCACTAACCAACACTATCCTTCAGAATAAGTGTTAAATAAATGTTCCAACTGGCTGTGCTTTATTAAAGATCCCTTAGCACTAAGGGCAGAGAATACAGGTGTTTCCTGGTGTCCTGGCCAAATTCCCAATCTTGCCATCTCAATCTGGTAATCTAATCATGCTGCAGTTTAACTGGCTAAATAAATCCTTATCACTCCACCCAGCTAGTTCAGCGGGTGTTCAGTAGCAGAACACCTGCCTGCTTCCCCACGTGTGAGCTCACACACACACACACACACACACACACACACACACACACACACACAAACACACACACGCATGCACACACCTGCACACACGCACACAGGTGCGAATGGTGCTGTATTAGTGCACAACGATATATTTCCTATTTGCTTTGCAAATGGCCTTGTGCAGGATGATGTAAGTAGCTCATACTGTCATATTTTATGCGTTTATACAGCAGAAAATCTGTTCAAGCAATGCAAGGAATGCAAGTTAAGCACTCCAGCTGCACTTTACCTGCAGCCTCAACCTGAGTCTTACCCTGCAAAGTCAACGGCTGCAGTTCAGTACCAACAGTACCTACAGTAACTGCAGAAACGTAGGTCATCCTCACCTGTTGTTCCCACACAGAATGGGCTGCAGCCCCGCCCACAGCTGCACGAAGGCGGAGAACTGGGTGCGGGGGTTCTCTCCCTCGGCCTCGCCCCGTGCCCCCCCGTCCCCCTCCCCGCCGGGCGTGTCTGTGGTGTTGGGGCCCCAGGTGGTGGCGTTGGGGCTCCAGGCGGTGGCGTTGGCGGGGGGCGGGGCCTGGTGGCCGGAGCACGCCCCTTTGGGCAGCAGTCTGGCCAATCCCGAGAGGAGGTCCACGTCCCGCAGAAGCCGCTCCACGTCAGCCAGGTCCTTCAGCAGGGCGCCCAGGTGAGACTGTGAGGGCAGGCCCGAGAGGTTGGCCTGCTCCAGACGCAGCTGCAGGGAGGGGGGGAGGGGACACACAGGGAGGGTAGGGGAGGGGAGAGAGAGACACCGTGTTACATGTCTAATGTAACATGGTTTACCGTAACATGTCTTATGTAACGTGGTGTGACTTGTAATGTGTCATGTAACATGTAATGTAATATGTAACACAGCATGTCTAATATAATGTGGTGTAATGTAACACGTCTAATGTAATATAACGTACCATCTAATGTAACCTGGTGTAATGTAACATATTTAATCTAATGTGGTGTAACGTGTAATGTCTAATGTAGTGCACACTGTATCTCTATCCATGCACATCCCGCCCTGGTGTGTCACATGTTCACGCTTTATCTCTGATGCGCTGCTTGCTATTCTGAGCCCTCACTCTCACTGCTCGTACTGTATGCGTCCTGCCATGGAGACCGTGTAAGCCTCTCCAGATAAAAGCATCCATCAGATAAATAAATAAATACATCCTGGCGTGAGACCTCTCTCTCTGTGAGGTGCTTCAGCGATCACATTAATAAGAGTTGCAACAGTAATAACAACAAGAACAACAACAATAAAAATAATAATCATTAAAAAAATAATAATAATAATAGTAAGAGGCGTCTCAGTACCTTGTCAATGATGGTCTGTGTGTCTATCTGGTCCTTCAGCTCGCGGCTCATCTCGCGGAACCTCTCCTCCCTCTGACCCTCCCCTCCACCGCATACTGCGCCGCGATACGCCTGCAGCACAGGCTGCTGCTTCTCCGGCACCTGCAAGATCTCGCTCAGCTCGGCGGCCCCGCCCTCCCCGCAGGTGAGCCCCTCCAGGACCCTGCCCGTCAGTACGGCGCCCTGGAGACACCGTGACAACCGCCAATCACCAGACGAAGGCGGGAACCTGGTTTAACTAGCCTGATACCACTAGGGAGGAAGTCACAGGCAATGGGCTGAATTCAAACTATTAAAGTTAATCTAAAACATTTACATTAAAGGGCAAAACCTTGCCAAAGCAGAGGGAATACATAAAATATATAAATATATAAATATAAAAATAGCAAAAATTACAACACAAGAACAGAGACAGGAAAAGTCTGAGACAGACAGATGGACAGACAGACGGACAGACAGACCTCCACCTCCCGCAGTCCCTGGGGGTCGTAGCTCTTGTCTCCCCCTCCAGCAGCCAGGCCTAAAGCCTGGGACATGAGTTTGAGCAGAGCCTGCCTGTGGACAGCCATGGCTGGGTCCTGCAGGGCTTTGTGGATCAGATCCCCACCCAGACTACGCCAGCTCCCCAGCAGCTTCTCCTGACAGCAGGGAGACTGCTGTTACTCTTCGAGAGGTCAAGCGCGGACCTTCTCATTTAAAGACACTCACAAAGGTCCTTACAAATCAAGGTACTAACGCAACAACAGGTTGCTGAAAGCACATTCACAATAGCTTTGGCTCATACTCAGACTTGTTACTCTTTTATTCATACTCGCTACTCCAGAAACACTCATCACATTTACTGTTGTGGGTGGAACCAGGCTGACTGGCTTACTTTTTATTCCAAGTGGTTTATCGTTTTTTGTTGTGCAGACCTGTGTCAGGTCAGTCCCCTAGTATCACCTCCTAAGACTCCAAAAGCCAGACACACCTGACGGCTGATGGCCAAATATCATCTTTATAACCATGGTTTGTCCAGCACAGTCTATAGTTACCCTTCACTGATGGCTGCTGTTACAGACTCAATATACAGAATTGCAGTCAGCCACCAAAGACAGTAGTATAACCCTCAGCCAATCAGAGTGCAGGAGACATCCCCACAAGAGAACGGAAAAAGACAACAACAAGGACGAAGAGAGGGTTCAGTTTCCGGCTCTCCCGAGACACTTTTTAACTGCAGTTACCACAGTGATTTGGACAGATGAAAATGAGGACAAACTGATCAGCTCAGTCTGAAGAGTTTGTTCTTCGTGTGCAGACTCAGAACGTATTTGTAAATAAGCTGGGGGCCATAATCTGGGCTGTGTGTTCCAGGGTGAGTTTATCAAACATCTTTGGTTGATCCCAACTGTGGGGTGTGTGTGTGTGTGTGTGTGTGTGTGTGTGTGTGTGTGTGTGTGTGTGTGTGTGTGTGTGTGTGTGTCCCTGGGTTACGCCTCTCTCAGGACTACGCACTGTGCACTTTTATTCAGCGAGATCCTTTATTTCTGCATTTCAGCTCTGTGCCCAAACGCGTCAGCAGTGGACAGCAAACACAGTCCAGGCAGTCATCTCAATCTGCACTGACAGCACTCAGTATGACATCATGTGCCACTGCTTTGGCTGCGATGATGCAACTGGGAGGCAATCATGCTGCACCAGGATCAGCCAGCTTTGGCTCCAGCTCGGGTCAGCCTGGTTCCAGCTCTACAGTGGGAAAGGGGTATAGTGGGCCAGCCTGGTTCTAGCTCTACAGTGGGAAAGGGGGGTTTAATAAGCCAGCCTGGTTCCAGCTCTACAGTGGGAAAGGAGTATAATGGGCCAGCCTGGTTCTAGCTCTACAGTGGAAAAGGTTTATAATGAGCCAGCCTGGTTCCAGCTGTACAGTTGAAAACTGGGTATAATGAGGCAGCCTTTTTTCCAGTTCTACAGTGGGAAAGGGGCATAATGAGCCAACCTGGTTAAAGCTCCATTGTGATAAAGGTGATTATCTGTGTTTTTGGGGACTGATCTCACCTTCAGTGCCTTATCCCCAGAGCTCTGAGTGTCCCGCTTCCCTCTGACCCTCCCTTGGCCGTCCCCTCCCGCTCCCGGATAAGAGCCGAAGATGAGGTTGTACACCTGCGGAGAAAGGGGGAGTGGGGTGGGCGTTACCATAATGATGTCAGCAGTGGGGTGTAAAGGTAAGGAGCAGGGCTGTTAACCGAAGGGTTGCTGGTTCATTTCCCTGCTGGGGCACTGTTGTTGTACCCTTGGGCAGGGTACTCAACCCCCAACCCACAATTGCCTTAGTAAATACCCAGCTGTCTAAACTTTTTAAATTGTAACCAATGCAAATCAGTCTGGATAAGAGTGTCTGC